CTCCTTAAATCTTATATTTATACACGTACGTACGAATTTTTCAATAATACTTCTATTTTCAATTCACGTCTTAAAGACACAATGAAATACACCTATTTTATTAAAGCAAACACCTACGTACGTATTTTTTATGTTTAGTACATGTTTTTTTTACAATATTTTTAATAATACACACAAATAATAAAGAAGAAGATAGATTTGAGGATGGAAAGTGGCCTTGGAATTAAACTAGGGAAAAGAGACGATTTGGGTCCCTAATCGCTAGGCGCATCTTTTTTTTTTTAATAATAAATAGTATAGTGGTGCCGCTATGCTTCATAAATAGTATAGCAGGTCAGCTATATTGGGTCCTTTTAAAAAAAAAATAGAAAAAATAATATAGCCTCACGGCTATACGTGGGTCTTTGTTATTTTTTTTAAATAAATAGTATAGCCAAACAGCTATACTGCGTAGTTTCACTAAAACACCCAAAATGGGGGCTGAAATTATAAAAAAAACTCAACACCCAAAACACTTTATAAACACACCCAAAAAATATATAATTATTGATTTTGGGTGTGTTTCTATGTTTAAATAGTGTTTGGTTTTTTTTTATAAATACATGTTTAGAATTGGGTTTATTTATAAATTTGTATTTTTTAATTTATTTTAATTTATAGTGAAAAATAGGTCGCCTAGCCCCTAATTGGATTGGAAGCCTAGGCGCTTGGTGCGTCAGGTTTTTTTTTCAATAAATTGTATAGCCACTCGGCTATACGTGGGGCCTTTTCTGTAATTTTCTTTAGTAAAGTGTATAGCCGGGCGGCTATATTTTTTTAAAAAATTAATAATAAGTATAGCCGTGCGGCGATACGCATATTTTTTGCCAAAAAACAAAACCTCACCTATCCTCTAGTTGGATGCCTAGACGCTAGGTGGGGCTTTTCCTTGTTTTTAAAAAAATAATAAATAGTATAGCCGATCGGCTATACTTGGGTTTTTTTAAATTTTTAAAAAATATAGTGTATAGCCGCCCGGTTACACCTGGGGCCTTTTTTTTTTTTTTTTAATAAATAAATAGTATAGCCACCTGATATACTTGGCTCTTTTTTTTGTTTTAGTTTTTCTGTCATTATTTTTGTTTATCGATAAGAGTAGTTTATAGCATTATCCATTACTATTAGGTCATTATCCGAGTCTCTATTGTTCGTTTTTTATGCTTAAATTTTTTTAATACTTCAAATATCATTATGATCCGACATATAACTTTTTGTTGTCTTTGTGGTATGCATAGAAAAACATATTCTTATTAGCAAATTTGTCTGGAAGAAGATTCCATATGATTAGGGGTGACATTTTAAACCGAAAAATCGCAAAAACCAACCGATAATTTACCGCAATGAAACCGCAATCGCGGTAAA